AAAACTACTTTTAAAAAAGTTCCCCTAGCATCTGTTAGGCCAGAGTGTTGGGGATGCATCCCAGTGGTATAGCACTTGCCTAGTGCTCCTTTAAAAAAAAAAAAAAAGTTAAAAATTAAACAAGGGCGGGCTGGAGTTGTGGCTCAGCTGTGGAGCACTTGCCTGGCATGCACGAGGCCCTGGGTTCGATCCCCAGCACCACATAAAAATAAGTAAAATAAAGGCATTGTGTCCAAGTACAACTAAAAAATAAATATTTAAAAATATATATTGTTAAAAAAAAATTAAACAGGGGGCTGGGGTTGTAGCTCAGTGGTAGAGTGCTTGCCTGGCACATGTGAGATACTGGGTTTGATCCTCAGCACCACATAAAAATAAACAAATAAAATAAAGTTATGCTATCCATCTAAAATTTAAAAAAAATTTAAATAAACAGAATGATCATACAATCCTGCAATTTCACTTCTAGGTACATGCCCAAAAGAAGTGAAGGAAGGAACATGCACAGATATTTGTATACCACTGTCCAGAGCAGCATATTAACAATAGCCAAAAGGTGGAAATGACCCAAATTTTCACCAACAGGTGAACTAATCAACAAATGTGGTATATACATACAATGGAAATATTATTCAGTCTTAAAAATTGCCAGGCATGGTGACACACACCTGTAATCCTAACAACTTAGGAGTGTGAGGCAGGAGGATTTCAAATTGGAGGTTAGCCTCAGCAACTTAATGAGATCCTGTCTCAAAATAAAAGATAAAAAGGCAGGAGGTATAACCCAGTGGTAAAGTGCCCCTGGACTCAATCTCCAGTACAAAACAAAAGGAATGAAATTCTGGTACATACTACATGCTACAACATGGATAGATTTGAAAACATGCTAAGTAAAATAATCTACACACATAAGGACAAATATTGTATGAATCTGCTTATATGAGGTACCTGGAATTAGGCAAATTCATAGAGGCAGAAGGTAGATTAGAGGCTACCAGGGGCTGAGGAAAGAGGAGTTACAGATTTTTTTATATATATATATATATTTTAGTTATAGATGGGCACAATACCTTTATTTTATGTGGTGCTGAGAATTGAAGCCAGTGCCTCACATATGCTAGGCAAACACTCTACCACTGAGGCATATCCCTGTCCAATAGATACAGATTTTATGTTGAAAATGATGGAAAGGTTTTTTAAAAAACATTTATTTTTTAGTTGTAGATAGACACAATGCCTTTATTTTATTTTTTTAATTATTTGTAGTTGTAGATTGACAGAATGCCTTTATTTTATTTGTTTATTTTTATGCGGTGCTGCAGATCAAACCAAGTCCCTCATGCATGCTAGGCAAGCGCTCTGCCACTGAGCTATAGCCCCAGTCCTATTTTATTTTTATGTGGTGCTGAGGATCAAACCCAGGGCCTCACGAATGCTAGGCCAGCAGTCTTCCTCAAAACCACAACCCCAACCCCTTGTGAATGTATTTTATGACACTGAATTATCCACATACAAAGGGTTAAAACGTTTAATATTATACACACACACACACACACACACACATAAAATATAAAAGAATACTTAGCTACTTTTTGTGAAATTACCTATTTTTAAGTGGTCTTTTTTAATTTTTTTTTTAGTTTTCAATTAACTTTATTTTATTTATTTATATTCAGTGCTGAGAATCAAACCCAGTGCCTCACAGATGCTAAACAAGTTCTCTACCACTGAGCCACAGCCCCAGCCCTGAAATTACCTATTCTGAGTTTTGTGCCAGGCAGATTAAAGAGGTTGGACCATAAATACTTCTCTGAAACCTCCTTTTTGTTAAACATATATTGGTCTTCCCAAATCAATACTTTTAAATATACTACAGTCACTTTAACAACTCTTTAGTTTTCTCTTATGTAGATAAGCCATGATTTATTTAACCAGTCCCTAATGCATAGATATTCAAGTAACATTTAAAGTTTTGCTTTTGCAGAAAATACTACTTCAGTCTTGCACTTCTGCAAGTAGTTCGATGGGATATATTCCCAGAGGTAAAAACAATGGGTCAAAGGGTAGCCACATTTGAAAATTTTTTTCCTTTGGTTTTTCCTTTAGTTTTTAGTTCTTTCCCTCTAAGGAGAGCTACTGGAGTTAGCTGATGTTCTATTACACAGTTAGGAAATATCCAGCTGATCCCACATAGTTGCATTTTGTTTTGTTTTGGCCGGAGGTACCAGGGATTAAACTCAGGGGCACACGCCCATGGAGCCACATCCCCAGCCCTCTTTTGTATTTACTAAAAACAGGATCTCACTGAGTTGCTTAGCACCTCGCTTTTGCTGAGGCTTGCTTTGAACTCGTCATCCTCCTGCCTCAGCCTCCTGAGCCGCTGTGATTACAGGCATGCACCGACACACCCAGTTTCCCCACATAGTTTTCAAACCAGAACTGATAAATGGAATTAAAAGACTTTCTGGGATCAGTTAGAACACGGATCAACAAACCATAGCCTGGGGACCAAATGCACCTTGCTGCCTGCTTTTATAGGCCATAAGCTAAAAATGTTGTTGTTTTACATTTTTAAGTAACTGAAAGAAAAAAAAAATCAGGGAAAATATATAAGAAAAAAAAATTTTAAAGAGAGAGAGAGAGAGAGAGAGGATTTTTTAATATTTATTTTGCAGTTTTCGGTGGACACAACATCTTTATTTTTTATTTTATGTGGTGCTGAGGATCGAACCCAGCACCCCTGCGCATGCCAGGCAAGCACATTACCGCTTGAACCACATCCCCAGCCCAAGAAAATTTTATAAGAAATTCAATCATTTTACTGAAATAGAGCCACACATGTTTACATATCAGCTGCCATTGTAATAGCAGGATTAAATGTTTAAGGTCTTGACCTTATAGCCTGCAAAGCCTAAAGTATTCACTGTCTGGCCCTTTAAAAAAAAAAAAAAGTGTGCCAACCTCCAACCTGAGCAACATTTTAAAGAGCAGAACCTAGTTCTCTAGGTAAAGGGCAAAGAAAAAATCGTCAACTAGCAACTAGCCGTTGAAGAAATATTGTAAGAAGTTGCTTGGTTTTCTGGATAATTTAGAATGCAAATAGTTTTGCATTTTCTTCATTACTGTGGTAGGGTGGTAGGGAAGCAACAACTGGAAGAACAAGTAGCCACAGCAAGTAGCTACAGGACTCCACTTTTTCTGGACTCTTTTGGATGCTAATGTAAAGAGTATTGTGTTTTTAATTTCAAATTCCAATTGCTTATTGCTGGTACATAATAAAGTGATTGGCTTTTGTATATCAACCTTATTTCATGACAATAATAATCACATATTAGTTCCAGGAGATCTATGTCAATTCCTTGACATTTTCTACCTAGACAATCATGTCACCTACTCCATTGGATTCTTGACCCAAACTATTTTTCCTGTAATTTCAGCTTTTTACTTTTGTTTCTCCACCAGTTATAATCATGGTTGCCAACTATAAATAATTTTTCAGAGACAGAGAATTTCGTCTCCCCATTTTTTCTGAGACTATCACTTAATAGAGTAAAAAGGACAAAGGAAGACATGGAAAAGTTAAAATAAAGAGAAAATGCAAGCACGAGTAAACACTGTGATATTACCAGGAAGTTTGGCCTCCTTGTCCTAACTAAGTAACGTAAAGGTTATAGAAATATTTAACTGACTTACTAGAAATGGAGACCAGACAACAAAATTTCACCCAGAGGCCAAGGTGCCCTGACCCCGATGCTCAGCCCCCAGCCTCAACCTGCATTGCAGTCCTCATACCAGTGTCGGATGTGAGAGCCTGTGATTAAGTAAGAAATCAAGCCTCACTGGAGACAGAGGTTCAAGCAAAGTCTGGACAACCACTTTTCTAGAACAGAAAGGAAGCTCATGCATCAGAAAAGGTGACTAATGGGGCTGGAATTATGGCTCAGTGGTAGAGCGCTTGCCTATCTTGCACGAAGCACTGGGTTTGATCCTCAGCACCACATAAATGTAAAGATATTGCGTCCACCTAAAACTTAAAAATAAATATTTTTTAAAAAAAAGAAAAGGTGACTAGTAAGCATACCAAAAGAATATGGCTGCACAAATACCAGAATCTGATCAGATAAAACAGTTTAGGGAATTCCTTGAAATCTGCGATAAACTTAAGAAACATTCTTTTTGGACTGTGTAAAAGACTTCACAAGAAGAGAAGTAAAACCTGAAGAGACCACCTATTCAGAACATTGCTTACAAAAATATTTTAAAATGAGAGGCTGAGGCTGTAGCTCAGTGGAAGAGTGCTTGCCTAGCACGTGTAAGACACTGGGTTCGATCCTCAGCACCACATAAAAATAAATAAAATAAAGGTACTGTGTCCATTCACAACTAAAAATATTTTTTGAGAGAATTTTTAATATTTATTTTTTAGTTCTCGGCGGACACAACATCTTTGTTGGTATGTGGTGCTGAGGATCGAACACAGGCCGCACGCATGCCACTTGAGCCACATCCCCAGCCCCTAAAAATATTTTTTTTAAAAAAGAAATATTTTAAAATGACACAAATAATACCCATGAGATTTCAGGAATATCATATTCAGCAGAATGATGCCCTGGCAACCAAAGCAGGACTCCTCCGTCAACCATGATAGAGAAATCCTGCTGGATGGACTTTCAATGAAAGATTGCCAACAGCTATTGCACTGGAAATGAGGATTCATCTGATGGAATCCTCCGAAAGCAGTAGGCACCATGTTAAACCATCTGTCATGACTCTTTGGCAATGGAAACTAATGACAAAACAACAGAAGATCTTATTGTTCAGAGACAATAATAAGATACATTTGTTGAGGCCTTAAGATTCAGCAGCTTGGTCATTTGATTAGAAAAATAAACCATTGTATCCTCCACTGTGATTGTTAATTTTAAAGCAAAATATATGTCTAATCATGTATGATAGAAAAAAATTACTAAAATAAGTTGAAATATCACTTAAAAAATTACCATATGCCATTTGGGATGGCTGCTGATAGTTATCATCATGGTTTTGAAAACTTGGTTGTATCGACGATGTGTCATCAGTGGATGTGTCTGGAGCAATCTCTGTTTCAGAATCCTCTATTACCACTACATCACCATCATCATCATCATCATCATCATCATCATCATCATCAACATTGTTCTCATTCTCATCTTCAATAGTAATAATAATATAATCTAAGAATAAACAAAGAGAAAGTTTAAATTAGATATCACATTAAATAAGTTATGGGTGTTTAAAAAACTTATTTTAGCTGGAAAATTGTATGAAGTCTTTTTATATCTGTAACCATTAAAAGTTAGCTAGCAAACCATTTAGTATGAAGTTTTGAGACATATATGTATGTATGTATGTATGTATACACATTTAGAGGATTGTTTTCTAGTACTTCCAATTTTGTAGAGCAATACATTTTTTTTGAGGGGGGGTACCAGGGATTGTACCCAGGGGTGCTTAACCACTGAGCCACATCCCCAGCCCTTTTTAATATTTTATTTAGAGACAGGGTCTCACTAAGTTGTTTAGGGCATCCCTAAATTGTTGAGACTGGCTTTGAACTTGTGATACTCCTGCCTCAGCCTCCCAAACTGATGAGATTACAGGCCAGCTGCTGGGATTATAGGCATGTGCCACCGTGCCCAGTGAGCAATACATTTCTACACTGAAGCAATAAATTTCTTCTAATTTTAGAAATATGCTGGCCCAGTGGCACACATCCATAATCCCAGCTACTCAAGAGACTAAGGCAGGAGGATCACAAATTTGAGGCCAGCCTGGGCAAATTAGGGAGACCCTGTCTCAAAATAAAAAATAAAAAGGGCTGGAGATACAGCTCAGTGGTAGACCACCCCTGGGTTCAATCCTGATGGGAGGGAGGAATGTCACCATTTGTTCCATGCTACAATGCGTTCCTTCAGTGATTTGCTTTTAACTCTTAAATGATGAAACTGATGTTACATGGCCACACTTATGCTGACCATGAATTTCAAATTTTGTTCTCTAAAAAATAATACTTGTGGGGCTGGGATTATGGTTCAGTGGTAGAGGGCTTGCCTACCATGTATGAGGCACTGGGTTTGATCCTCAGCACTACATAAAAAAGTAAAAAAATAAAATAAAGTTATTAAAATAATAATAATACTTGTGATGATTAAAATGTAAAAATAGGGCTGGGGTTGTAGCTCAGTGGCAAAGCATTTGCCTCCCACATGTGAGGTGCTGGATTTGATCCTCAGCACCACATAAAAATAAGTAAAATAAAGGTATTATGTCCAAAAAAAAATTTTGTGTCTAAAAAAATTTTTTGTGTCTAAAAAATTTTTTAAAGAAATGTAGAGGGCTGGGGATGTGGCTCAAGCGGTAGCGCGCTCGCCTGGCATGCGTGCGGCCCGGGTTCGATCCTCAGCACCACATACAAACAAAGATGTTGTGTCCGCCAAAAACTAAAAAATAAATATTAAAAAAAAAATCTTTTAAAAAAAAAATAAAGAAATGTAGAAATAAAGTACAAAAGTAAATGTTATGAAGTAAATTAAATTCAAGCTGAATCTCACAAAATGTGAAATAAGTAGCCACAATGGAATTAGATGGAAAAATATCAACTTAGTACACCATTTTAGTGGATATGAAAAACAACACATTATGCAGAGTGTCTAATATCTAAATGGCCTTTCTTATTTCTTAGAGTTGGCCAAAAAGGAATATTTAAGTGTAAACTATTTACTCAAAGATCACTTTTTTTGGTTTCATCATAACTTGGATTCCTATATTTCAAATAGATCAAAAGAGATGAATAAAGTCATCAGTTAGACAGAGGTGCATATGGTGGTGTACAAATGGTACTAAATTAGGAATTATGAAGGTTCCAGATCAGATTTTAAAGTTATACAAAAGTATGACTTTTGGGACAGATACATCAACTCTTTTGCCTCTGTTTTCTCATCTATAAAATGTGTAGCTGGGGGGCTGGGGTTGTGGCTCAGTGGTAACGCGCTTGCCTAGCATGCATGAGGCACTGGGTTCGATTCTCAGCACCACATACAAATAAATAAAATAAAGGCCCATCAACAACTAAAAAATATTTTTTAAAAATGTGTAGCTGTGTTTTAAAAGTCACTCCAAATACTAATATTCTTCTTGGAAAAAAATTAGAAACTATCAAATAATCTAAACAAAAGGATTAAGTAAAAATTAAATAAATTATAGTATATAATTAATGAGAAGCATGTTTTTTAAAAAAAATGCTTGTAAAATATTAGATATGCTTGTAAAATAATGTTAAGGAAGGGGAAAGGATTCAAAACAGAAAAATGCATCATACTACTCACTTTGAAAGCCACAGAAAACATATCAAAGATTATTTGGGTGACTATTTCTAAGTAGCAAAATAATTATCTTATTAGACCTCCCTGTCAAAATCTACAGTAAACTTTAGGTTTTACCATCAGAAGAAAATAAAAAATGTTATTGAAATTGTATTAAGACAAATTTTGGATATTAATGAATTTTCACATTTGAACTAGTAAAGCTATTGACAACTTCACTAAGGTTTTTCAGTAAATGTGTAAAACTCCATTTAATCATTTAGGTATATACACAGCCTTCATAATGAAATTTTAAAAGACATACAACATTTAGAAGTTTTTTTTTTTTTTTTTTTTCCTTTTTAAGAACATGTTCCCAAAGTGCAAGCTATTCACTTGCCATCAGTTTATCCCTTAAGGCATAGTGCACAACTAGGAGTGGAAAAGGCATTTAGCCCCAGGACCTCTTACGGAAAAAGGGAGCTGCTTACAACAGCCAGACTGCTCCAATTTAAAAAAGCAAGCAAACAAACATACACACACCTAGTGTAAACACACCAACCAATCACTTGCTAAATTTTCTGGTAAGACTCTCCCTATCAAACTTTGAAGAGTACAAAATCCGCCACGTGGGGATAAGGCAGCCAAATTATATCCCATTGCCCAGCTCTTGCTGCGGGCCAGACAAGTCACGCTCCAAACTGCCCCTAGCCCGCGGAAAAGTTGCTATTGTAAACATTAAACGGTTTTTACCACCTCGTGTTACAAAACTTCAGAGCAATCAGAACTGCAGAGAACCCGCAAAGGAGGGAGGGAAGCAATCCTCAACAACCTAAATTAGATCCTTTTCTATCCAACGACCACACAGCAGGTGGCCTGGGACAGCCTGGGACACGAGCGTACCGAAACCCCACGCGCTTTACAGGGATCTCCACATTTTGCAATTTTTCCTGACTCTAGCATCTGCCTCCCAGAAGCAAAGAATAGGCTCAATACGTTGAGACGTCTCCTCAACACGCTACATCTTTATTTTCTTCCGCATTTTTAATTACCCTTTTTGTTCTAATTAGTTGTACAGGATAGAATGCATTTCAACTCACTGTACACAAATGGTCTCCCTCATTCTTTTGTATTTACAATAAAACAATAAGGCTGCGCTGTCTTTTAACCAAAGGCGATTACCACCAAAGCCTGAAAATCAAAAAGGCTGCGCCGTCTGTAACCAAAGTCGGTTATCACCAAAGCCTGAAAATCTACATAGCAATAGAGAAAGATGTTATCTGAATCAACACGCCAGTTTGCAAATTTGGGGGAGGGGAACTGGGGGTTGAACTCAGGGGCTCTCTACCACAGAGCCACATCCCCAGTCCTTTTTATTTGTTGAGACAGGGTCTTGCTAAATCGCTTAGGACCTCGCTAAATTGCTGAGGCTGGCTTCCAAATGGCGATCTTCCTGCCTCAGCTTCCAAAATCGCTGGGATTACAGGTGTGCGTAACCATGCTTGGTTTGCCAACTCTTTAAAGCAAAAAGTCTAAAAGTCTGAGAGTACGGGTCCTTCCTTATCCTCAACCCGTCTCCGCCAAGGAAGACAATGAAAAAGGCTCAACTCGTTCCAGAAAGCACCAAATACTTAATAAATAGTCAAATCTCAAAAGCTCTGCCGCCGGAGAAACGGAGGGAACCACACAAACCAACGCCCCGCGGCTCTGCTGAAATTCGAGGCAGCAAAAGTGCAGACTCGCTCTTCCCGCAAAGAAAATTCTCTCTTGCCAAGTGACCCAGCCGCTAAGTCAAATTGTTTTCCCACTTTAACACGGTTGTGCTCCGCAACTGCACGAAAAAACGACGGGGGAGGGTGCGACCTGCCCTGGCTGTAGAGTCCCCCCCCCTCCGCCCGCCTCTCCTGGGAAGGCATGGCGCAGGGAAGCCCCTCTGGGTGGCCCAGTTTCTAGATTCCCGAAATTGTTTTATGGACACTCGAAGCTCTGGAAAGAAAGAGTTCCAGGGACGCTATGAGCCCTGGGGACACCATGCGCCCTAGGATCACCTTGAGCTCCCTTCTTTTTGAGCCCTGGAGAAGCCGTGAGCCCCAGGGACACCGAAAGCCCTGAGATCCCCCTCGAGTCCCGGGGACGCCATGAATCCCTGGATCGCCCCGAATCCAGAGAAGCCACCACGAAGCCCAGGATCACCTTGTACCCCAGAAATGCCACAAGCCCTAGGATAACCTTTAACTCCCATCTCCTAGAGCCCAGGGTATGCGTCCAGTCCCAGAGACGCCGCGAGCCCTGGGATCCCCTCGAGCCCCAGGGACGCCATTAAACCTAGGATCACCCCAAGTCCTAGAGAGCCACGAGCCCTGGAGACGCCGCAAACCCTAGGTTCACCTCGAACCACCGAGATTTCTAAGCCCCCCCTGGAACCCAGGAGATGCTACGAGCCGCAGGGGCGCTATGAGCTCCCAAGACGCGGCGAGCTCTAGAATAGGATCCATTGGAGCCCTGGGAGTCCCCAAGACACCACGAACGCCCAGTACGCCGCGAGCCCTCGCATTACCTGGAGCTCCCGGGGACTCTTCATGCTCCATTGCTGCAGCAAATCCTAGGATCTCCTCTAGCTACTAGGGATTCCCTAAGGCCCAGGGCCACCTCAAACCAAAGAGCCACTGGACCTGGGTCTTACCGGTCGGTACTGCCCTTACCGGTCGGTAGTGCCCAGGTTCCCACGCGCGGGTTAATCAACTGGAGATCCCCCCGCTGGCTCGCCAATAGGCAGCCAGAGGCCAGCGGCCAGCGCCCAGAGGCCGCCACTGGACACACCCAGCAGATGAACAACCAATCCGGCTGTCGTCCATGCGGCCGTCTAAGTGGGCGCGGTCCAAACCCTGTCAGAGGCAGAGGCTAGCGGGACAGTTAAGAGAAGGTCTCTTACCCTGTTCCTCCGGCATTGTGAGGTGGCTCTCTCTGGCTCCAAGAGCCCGAGACTCAGCGTCTGCACAGCTGCCCTATCGCGACTGTGCCCACGAGGCGTCCGCGATAAACTGAGGCGCCGAACAGGAAGGGGCGCCAAATTCCCAACCTGAAAGTGGTTTCCACGGCTGCGCAGTAGTGCCCAGCGTGCTTGCGCAACGCTGTGGGGGGCAGGGTCAACTCCAAGTTTGGCGCCTTACCTCCCCCACTTTCTACCTATTTTTTTAAAAGGTGTACTATTTGGAATAAAACTGTTATTTTATATATAATACACATGACATATGTATATATTACATAATATGTACATGTGATATATGCATATATTAATATAGTATATAACGTAATATATACATACGCATATATAGGGGAGGGGCCGGTAGCCAATCGCGCAGTTCCGCCCTTCCCAAAATGCTCGCCACATAGCACATCAGTTTAAAAGTGTACAATGTGAGAGAAATAAAAGACTCTCCAATGTTTTTCGGGTGCTTACTCACTGCCAAAGACGCTTAGGGAAAAATAAAAATCCCAAACCAATGCAACTATTAAAATCTGCCCCATGTGTAACAATATTGGCCAAATTATAATTTGAGATCGTATGCATATAAAAATATGTAACAATGAATCCCACCATTAAGTACAATTACAATGGACCAATAAAAAATAAAGAAAAAAGAAATCTGCCCTTAATTATTATTGTATATCCATTGAATCCTCCATGTCAGCTATGTGGCTCTATTTGTGATTCTCCAAACAGTCATGTTCACTGTTTGCTTCTTTTATTAATAACTGCTAGGATTTACTTAGTGCTCACCACAAGCCACATAACATGTCTAACCTTAGCTGGTGCTCAACACCATAAGAAATCAGTATTAGCATCCAATTTTATTTTATTTTATTTTAAGAATGTTTTTTTAAGAGAGAGTGGGGGAGAGAGAGAGAGAGAGAGAGAGAGAGAGAGAGAATTTTAATATTTATTTTTTAGTTCTCAGCGGACACAATATCTTTGTTTGTATGTGGTGCTGAGGATCGAACCCGGGCCGCACGCATGCCAGGCGAGCGCGCTACCGCTAGAGCCACATCCCCAGCCCCTAGCATTCCATTTTAAAGATGAGAAAACTGAAGCTATGAGAATTTAACTTGCTCAAAGCCACAAGGCTTGTGGCAGATAGATAGATATTGATATATATTTCTGGAGGGGAGAGAGAGGCACATGCCTAGAACCCCAGCAACTTTGGAGTCTGAGGCAGGAGGATTGCAGGTTCAAAACCAGGCTCAGCAACTCAACTCAGCAAGGCAGTCTCAAAATAAAAAAAAATAAAATAAAAGGAATGGGTATGTGGTTCAGTGGTTAAGCACCCCTGGGTTCAATCATCTGATACCAAAAAGAAAAAGAAAGGAAAGAAATGTATTTAGGACAGAATCTCACTATTTTTCTCAGGCTGGTCCCGGATCTCTGAAGCAGCATAAAGTGAAATATAACTAGATATGGAGGACAAAAAGAAGCAATAAAAATCTCTATGCTGTGGGAACATAGCCTTGGATCAAGTGATCCTACTGCTTCAGCTGGACTGATCCACTTGCCCTTTTGGATTTCCTAGGCACCTAGAACGCAGCAGGTACACACAGTTTGTTCAGGGAATGTAACTGAAAATTCAACACATGTTCAACAATCCCTATCCATTTCATAGCTGGTCAATTCTCTCCATTTATTGACTTGATGCCTTTTCTCCATGGAGGAGGATAGAATGGAAGAAAGAAAGGATTTCCTTACTATCATTCATACAGCTAGCTTTAAATTTTCCGATCTGCCCAGTATGGCAAAATAATAGTGACCAACAAGTAAGAGAGATGTGCCAGCTGTGGGAGAAGTAGGAGGAGATGCACGTAATGCTGACCATTTATTCTCACGTGCAAGCTGGACCACTTGGGCAATGAATACATCAAGTATTTTGTCAACAGTAACGGCAGTCATGGCAACCTGAAGTTACACTGCCTGTAATGGTGTACTGGGTAATGTAATGCAGCCATTCCCCTGGAAGGCAACTACAAAAGCTAGATGACATATTTTTAATATTTTAACATTAATGAACAACATTAAGTTGACAAAACAATGAGCAATGATTGTACTATGATCTGGGAAAGATCAGAAATCTAGAGAGGCATGAAAAGCTGAAAGAATTGCTTTTGCCCTTGGGGATATATTACACACACACACACAATGTATATTTTAGTTGTAGGTGGACACAATACCTTTTTTAATTTTTTATTTGTTTTAATTAAGACCTTTACTTTATGTTTATGGGATGCTGAGGGTTGAACCTAGTGCCTCACATGTGTTAGGCTCTGCCAATGAACCACAATCCCAGCCCCTGCTCTTGGGCATTTATTGATCATGAAAAGACCCAAAGAGGGCTGGGGATATGGTTCAGTGGTAGAACACTTCCTGGCATGCATAAAGCCCTGGGTAAGATCCCCATCACTGAACCATCACTGAAAAAAAAAAAAGGCAGAAAGAGGCTGGGCTGCACTTTTAGTGGTTTTGTGAGATTGAAGGACAAACGTCAGAATCTGAGACACACAAATGGAGGGAAGCTGGTAACCACACCTTTCCTCAGACTGGGACCACAAAGAGATACCTTCAGAGTAAAAGTGATCCAGAATTTATCAACAGTTAACTAACTGCATGGGCTAGAGGTTAGCCTCATTTCACCAAAGGATTTAGCACTCCCAGGTATCTGGCATAAAAGCATACAAAAATTATATATGGTGAAGATAATGTGAATTTCTTTATTTTTTTAACTTTATTTTTATTTGTTTATTTTTATGTGGTGCTGAGGATCGAGCCCAGGGCGTCACTCGTGCAAGGCAAGTGCTCTGCCACTGAGCTATAATTCCAGCCCCTGTGAATTTATTTCTACAAAGAAATTTTAAATAGGATAGCCAGTAAAAATGAAATATAACTAGATATGGATGACAGCAGGAGAAAGAAGCAATAAAAATGTATATGCTGCTGGGCATGGTGGCACATGCCTGTAATCCAGCAGCTCAGGAGGCTGAAGCAGTAGGATTGTAAGTTCAAAGCCAGCCTCAGCAACTTGGTGAGGCCCTAAGCAATTTAGTGAGACCCTGTCTCAAAACAAAAAATAAAAAGGGCTGGGGATAGGGCTCAGTGGCTAAGTGCCCCTGGGTTCAATCCCCAGTACCAAAAAAAGAAAAAGAAAAATGTATATGCTGTGGGGAGGTAGCCTGCTTCATCCCTCCCCCAACTCAGCAACCACAGGGAACTTCCCGACCTAGTGATCCTGATGCAACCACCTGGCCAGTGATCTTGGTCCCCTGACTGTATTTTAGGACAACCAGGGGAAGGGTCCAGATTGAAAATCCCAGAGGGTCCAAGCTTTCAGAAAGAAGCCCGCTCACCCTTCATTCATGAGAAACCACGGTGCCACAAAACCTGGGAGGGAGGCACCCTGGCCTGTGACTCAGTGGCATCCTCTTCCTGGATGAAACAAGAACCAGGGGACACCATGCACTGCAGTTTGTAGAGCTGCAGAGATGGCCCCCAATGTTTCTGGGGTCAAGGGCTACTTATTCAGGAAAGTTTGTTGGGGATCTTGGAATCAGCAGAGGGAAGGAAAGGGCACKCGACCCCCAAGAAGCCTGAGGAAGAAAGGAGACCACTGCAGCACAGACCCAGTCTGGCACCACTGCCCTGGAGTGGGGAGGAGGGCGAGGGGACACCTGTCACAGCTGGCATTTGTCACTCTGCCAGATGCTTGCTTCTGCACCCTGGCTGTACCCAGGATCACCAGGAGAACTCTTGAAACTCCTGATGCCCAGGCCATGGCCCATAGACTCTCCCATACCTGGCCAGAGAGATGCTGAGGTTGAAAAGCACCAGGGAACTCACTGTCACAGGCAGCCAGGCCAGGACACACTGCTCTCT